GCCCCTAGACGACATCTCCCAGCCGCCACGTAGGTCTGAGGGGAGCCGGCTGTGAACCACGAGGCACATGAGGGGACACACTGGGCCGCTTCTCCTCCGGGCGCTGAGACATGGATCGGACTCACCTCCTCCAGGCTGGAATGCTCGTGGGCTGGCAGCCGGCTCTGACCAGCCCTGCGTCCCCAAGGATGGAAGTCCCAAATGGCCACAAGGAGCGGGACCGCGTGGGTTTTTTGGTCTGAAACAGAGAGGTGAGGAAGCAGGAGAGAGACAGCGAGGGCGGGGGCTCTGTGTTGCCAGGACCTGCCGCTTAGCTGCCCCCGACTGCCCTATGATCGACTCCGGAGATGCCCAACTGTTTAGTCGGTCAGTTATGTCCGATGCTTCTGCGACCCCGTGGACTGTAGCTCACCAGGCTCCTCTGTCCACGGGATTCTCCAGGCAAGAACACTGGAGTGGGCTGCCTTGTCCTCCTGCAGGGGATCCTCCCCACCCAGGGTTCAAACCTGTGTATCCTAGATCGGCAGGAGGGGTCTTCACCACTGAGCCGGCTGGGAAGCCCAGAGATGCCCAGCGCCCCCATTTTAAAGTACAGTGAACCGTGGCACAGAGGGCTACAAGGAGCCCGCCCAGTCACGGCTGGTGCTCACCCACGTGAGCTCACACTCGCCCTGGGAGCCACGGTCACTCTCCTGGCNTGGTTAGGGCTCTGGGTTTTCACTGCCTTAACCTGGGTTCGGTCTTTGCTTAGGGAACTGAGATCCTTCAAGCCTGCAGCTAAACCAACCAGCCAAACAAAAAAGGCCCCAGAAAGAGGAGACTCAGGGAACTCGATGTGTACACAAAGCTTCAGGCCAAGCTGAGTACATTCCTTCAAGTTCAACTGCAAAGACAACTATGAAAAGAGACTCCAGCACGCAAGCTTATTGAATCCAGTAAGTATTTAACCCTGAATATTAGGCCTGCTGCTACTCACTCCCCCACCTTCTCCACAAGCACTGAAACCGACTTCGACTGCACACCCGGTTCCTGTTTCTTTCTCGCCTGATGACTGTTTAAAATGACGTTGGACTTGCTTCGTGAAAAGTTTTACTAAAAAAATTTTGAACAGACCACCATGAGAAACTTTGGCATCTGAAGCAGTCACTGTTATTGCTAACTCTGAATAAAAAACTCCCCCACCCCCCACGAATAACTTGCCAGCTTCTACCACTTGTTAGCTTGGAGTGGGGTGGGGTCTTCCGGGACGGTTCAGCGAGGCTGCAGCGGGGCTGGGATGTGGAAGGATGGAAGGATCTTAGGGAACTCACAGTTGGTGACCGCCTGGTTAGGGCTAGACCGCGGGTGTGTGTGCCTAGAGGAGAAAAGTCCCCACGCTCTTATCCAGACACCTCCTCCACGCCCCTCCCCACCGTACTATCAGCACGGAGACCGGAGGCTGGAAACGCTCCAGCCCGGCGCTTATTTACTGAGAGCTCGGATTGGAACTCTGGCGCTCCGGGTTCCTGGTGCTCCCCTGGGTTTCCAGCCACATCCAACTTCGCAGCGTTCCCAGTACACTGGGCACGGAGGAGCTTGCCTTCTGGTACAGAGATGAGGACGCCGGGCCAAGGAGCGCACATAAACCGGGAGCCGGTCCTGGACCCCCGAATCCTAAGACTGTGTGGGGCTGCGCCACCCTGGGCCCCCAAATCAGAGCGCTCCCGCTTACAGCCGAGGTAAGTACCCGCCCTCCTGGTGGAGATTCAAGCTAAGGACCCCGCCCACCTGGCGGAGACTCCGCGCAGAGGACCCCGCCCATCTGGGGGATTCTCCGAGGTAAGGACCCCGCCCACCTGGTGGAGACTCCGACCCTAGAACCCCGTTCACCTGGTGCAGATTGGGGGGGCCCAGCCTCCCTAGATGTGGACCCTCAGGTGCCCCGTGAGGTTGGTGTTCCGGCTGAAGGTCTTCCCGCACTCGCGGCAGGCGTAGGGCTTCTCCCCGGTGTGGATCCGCTGGTGCGCGGTGAGCGAAGCGTTCTTGATGAAGGCCTTGCCGCACTGCGCGCACAGGTAGGGCTTCTCGCCCATGTGGATGCGCTGGTGCTCGATGAGGTAGGCACTCTGGCCGAAGGCCTTCACGCACTCGCCACAGGCGTAGGGCCCACCTGGTGCACCGCCAGCGACGAGCGGCCCGTGAAGTGCTTCTTGCAGACGGGGCAGGCGTAGGGCTTCTCGCCGGTGTGCAGGCGCTGGTGCTGCGTCAGGGCCGAGTTCTTGCTGAAGGCCTTGCCGCAGCGGCCGCACTCGAAGGGCTTCACGCTGATGTGCAGCCGCTTGTGCTGGATCAGGTAGGAGCTCTGGCTGAAGGCCTTGCCGCACTCCCCGCATGCGTATGGCTTCTCGCCCGTGTGTGTGCGCCGGTGCACCGCCAAGTGCATGCCCTGGCTGAAGGCCTTGCCGCAGTCCCCACACGCGAATGGCTTCTCGCCCGTGTGCACCCTCTCGTGCTGGGCCAGGGACGAGGTCTTCCGGAAGGCCTTGCCGCAGCCGCCGCACGCGTACGGCCTCTCGCTGGTGTGTGTGCGCCGGTGCACCGTCAGGTTCATGCGCTGGCTGAAGGCCTTGCCGCAGTCCCCACAGGCGTACGGCTTCTCGCCCGTGTGCACGCGCCGGTGGACGGTCAGTGACGAGCGCTCCAGGAACTGCTTCCCGCACGCGTTGCACGGGAAGGGCTTCTGGCCGGTGTGGATGCGCTGGTGCTTCGTCAGCGACGAGCTGCGGCCGAAAGCCTTGCCGCACTCGCTGCAGCAGTAGGCGCTCTTCTCCGCGTCCGGCCTGGAGGGATTCCCGAGGTCCCAGTGACCTGCGAGGCCCTTTCCCCGCATGGCCGACCCGGGGGCCGCCGGGGGGCACTCAGAGGCCGACTGCTGGGAGGTTCCCCGCCGCCCGGGATGGGTCGGAGTGCTCCCCCGCGGCGTGTCCATGCGGTCACCCTGCGTGCGCGCTCCGCCCAGCGCGGCACCCCCAGCCCTGTGCCTCACGGGCCCTTCTGCGGAGGGCCCGTCTTCTAAAATCTCCTTTGGGTCGGGTTCTTTCACTGCGGGCCGAGTGTCCACTTCTGGAGGAGGCAGAGGAAGAGAGGAGGAAATGCGCAGGGTTAGTGCTGGAAGGAAGGAACTTCCCAAGCCCGGGGATGGATAAACCGCGGGGCACAGACGGAGCCGCTAAGAGCAGAGCAATGCGCTGGCGGCACACGCGGCTCGAGTGGGCAGAACGGACCGAGGACGGGAGCTAACACAAGGGGTGTCCCTTTGGGAGCTGGGAGGAGAGCAGGGGGCGGGTCAGGAGGCGCGCAAACCCGAGTAACGGGTTACTCCAGGGTCCATCCTGAACATCCCCTACCGGTTAGGCTTCTGGGAGTATCAGCTTTTATTAGAAAGAATACCGATACAGCTGCGGTTGGTGGCTTGTGAAGGTTACCCCGCCTTCCAGCTCCATCCCTTCGCACCCCACCCGGCTGGGGGGCCTCACTCCCATCCTCAGGTGCCCAGTTCTGGGGCGCAGGTATCCCCGTGGGCTGGCTGCAGACCTCTTCTTTTCACACGTCCATCGTTCCTTGCTAATCACGACCAATGGGAGTCTCCAACCCCCTCCTACAGGTATCCTGTTCAGTCCTATTTCCAGTCTTGAGTTCCATTAGTGGGAACTCTGTATCCCAGACCTGATGGCTCAATTCCTGACATTTAAAAACTGAGATCTTACACAACAATGTCATGAAAAGTGGGAGGATACAGTCACAAAAGACCCTTACTTCTATGAGGCAATAAAAAGCATATAAATCCCCACCTGGCCTCACCAGCACTTGAGTTTGAGAACCCCTCAACTGAGTGATGCCAGACCTTCACGGTCTGGACTTAGGTAGCTGCTTCTTTTTTTAAAAGTTTACTTATTTTTAGTTGGAGGGTAACTGCTTTACAATATTGTACTGCTTCAGTATCTTCTGTATGCGGATGCCTCTCAAGCCTATGTGCCACCCCTCCACCGCAAACTCTTGACAGTCCCTTGGACTTCAAGATCAAACCAGTCAATCCTAAAGGGAATCAACCCTGAATATTCATTGGAAGGACTGATGCTGAAGCTGAAACTCCAATACTTTGGCCACCTGATGTGAAGAGTTNGGGAAGCCTGGTGTCCTGTGGTCCATGGGGTTGCAGAGAGTCGAATAACTTAACAACAACAAGGGACACCGTTCCATGTCAGTGCCTACAAAGAGTGCTCATCTTTGAAAAGCATGGCTTCTATCCTATGGTTACACCTTGATACGTTAGTCAGTCTTGTATAGGTGGGCATTTAGGTCGTTTCTTTCTTTCTTTCTTTTTCCCCTATGGAAAATTTTGCACACTTAAGAGAAAGATTTCTTAAAGGATAGATCTCTAAAAATCGAATGGTTCAAAATTGGCTGCTAATGCCAAGCTGTCCTCCAAAAGAGTTGTCCCAACATTATACTCCTAAAAGGACAGAGTCTCTTTCTGATAACTTCATAATTCAGGCTATTACTCTTTACCATCTCTATGTACCTCATGAGCAAAAACTATTTCTTTGGCTCAGTTTATATTAATAGTTCTTTGACTACTAGTAAGGTTTAAAGGGGCTTCCCTGATGGCTTAGCAGGTAAAGAATTCACCTGCAATGCCTAAGACACAGGTGACATGGTTTGATAATTCGGCTGGGAAGATCCCCTGGAGGAGGAAATGGCAACCACTCCAGTAGTCTTGTCTGAAAAATTCCATGGACAGAGGAGCCTGGTGGGCTATAGTCCATGGAGTCACAAAGAGTCAGACACGACTGAGCAACTAAGCACAAGGTTTAAAAATCTTTTATAAAGTGTGATCTTTTATAAAGTGTATTTCCACATCTATGAACTGCCAGCTATAAGTCTGGCCATCATTCAGCCTTTTTCTTATTTATTCTTAGGAGCTCTTTATATAATTATAATCCTCTGAAGGTTAGGGTTTCTCTAGTGACTCAGACAGTAAAGAATCTCCTAGCAATACGTGAGATCTGGGTTCGATCCCTGGGTTGAGAAGAACTCCTGGAGAAGGGAATGGAAACCCACTCCAGTATTCTTGCCTGGAGAATTACAAGGACAGAGGAGCCTGGTGGGCTACAGTCCATGGGGTTGCAAAGAGTCAGACATGACTGAGTGACTAACACTTTTACTTTCAATCCTTTCACTGCTATCCATGTGGTAAATATTATTCCGCATTTCATCATCTGTCAACTTTAGTTTTAGCTTTGAGTAGAGTGATTTCTATGTCATCACATCTGTCCATCTTTTATCTCTCTGTTGTCCTCATGTGACAGGCTGATGGCAAGTAACTCAGCAAAGCATCCCCTCACCCAGCGAGACCAGGTTCTGGAGGTTCTCCAGCCTGCCTTCTGGGCAGGCTCCAGCTGGTGCCACTCCTCCTGGGTGAAGTCCACAGTCACATCCTGAACATCACTGACTCCTGCAAGAGGAAACCCACAACCACTCGCCGCAGGGCCCTCCTCACAGAGGTCTGGAGGAATGGATGGAAAAGCCGAAGGGCATCTGGGATGCATCTGGGATGCATCTGAAGTCATTTCAACAAGGACCTGCCCTTTGGTTTTCTCCATGCCTCATTATTTGGGGATGGCCCTCTAACAGAGAAATAAAACAAATGTGAGGCTGTTCAGAGCAGAAAGTCACAGGCTTGAGAGACAGAGAAGGAATCAAAGGCAAAATGATCATAACCCAGTGAATCAACATATTCATTGTTGTGTGTGTGTTAGTCACTCAGTCGTGTCTGACTCCTTGGGACCCCAAGGACTGTAGCCCGCCAGGCTCCTCTGTCCATGGAATTCTCCAGGCAAGAATACTGGAGTGGGTAGCCATTCCCTTCTCCAGGAGAGTGAAGGGCAGGGAAGCCTGGTGTCCTGTGGTCCATGGGGTTGCAGAGAGTCGAATAACTTAACAACAACAAGGGACACCGTTCCATGTCAGTGCCTACAAAGAGTGCTCATCTTTGAAAAGCATGGCTTCTATCCTATGGTTACACCTTGATACGTTAGTCAGTCTTGTATAGGTGGGCATTTAGGTCGTTTCTTTCTTTCTTTCTTTCTTTCTTTTTCCCCTATGGAAAATTTTGCACACTTAAGAGAAAGATTTCTTAAAGGATAGATCTCTAAAAATCGAATGGTTCAAAATTGGCTGCTAATGCCAAGCTGTCCTCCAAAAGAGTTGTCCCAACATTATACTCCTAAAAGGACAGAGTCTCTTTCTGATAACTTCATAATTCAGGCTATTACTCTTTACCATCTCTATGTACCTCATGAGCAAAAACTATTTCTTTGGCTCAGTTTATATTAATAGTTCTTTGACTACTAGTAAGGTTTAAAGGGGCTTCCCTGATGGCTTAGCAGGTAAAGAATTCACCTGCAATGCCTAAGACACAGGTGACATGGTTTGATAATTCGGCTGGGAAGATCCCCTGGAGGAGGAAATGGCAACCACTCCAGTAGTCTTGTCTGAAAAATTCCATGGACAGAGGAGCCTGGTGGGCTATAGTCCATGGAGTCACAAAGAGTCAGACACGACTGAGCAACTAAGCACAAGGTTTAAAAATCTTTTATAAAGTGTGATCTTTTATAAAGTGTATTTCCACATCTATGAACTGCCAGCTATAAGTCTGGCCATCATTCAGCCTTTTTCTTATTTATTCTTAGGAGCTCTTTATATAATTATAATCCTCTGAAGGTTAGGGTTTCTCTAGTGACTCAGACAGTAAAGAATCTCCTAGCAATACGTGAGATCTGGGTTCGATCCCTGGGTTGAGAACTCCTGGAGAAGGGAATGGAAACCCACTCCAGTATTCCTGCCTGGAGAATTACATGGACAGAGGAGCCTGGTGGGCTACAGTCCATGGGGTTGCAAAGAGTCAGACATGACTGAGTGACTAACACTTTTACTTTCAATCCTTTCACTGCTATCCATGTGGTAAATATTATTCCGCATTTCATCATCTGTCAACTTTAGTTTTAGCTTTGAGTAGAGTGATTTCTATGTCATCACATCTGTCCATCTTTTATCTCTCTGTTGTCCTCATGTGACAGGCTGATGGCAAGTAACTCAGCAAAGCATCCCCTCACCCAGCGAGACCAGGTTCTGGAGGTTCTCCAGCCTGCCTTCTGGGCAGGCTCCAGCTGGTGCCACTCCTCCTGGGTGAAGTCCACAGTCACATCCTGAACATCACTGACTCCTGCAAGAGGAAACCCACAACCACTCGCCGCAGGGCCCTCCTCACAGAGGTCTGGAGGAATGGATGGAAAAGCCGAAGGGCATCTGGGATGCATCTGGGATGCATCTGAAGTCATTTCAACAAGGACCTGCCCTTTGGTTTTCTCCATGCCTCATTATTTGGGGATGGCCCTCTAACAGAGAAATAAAACAAATGTGAGGCTGTTCAGAGAAGAAAGTCACAGGCTTGAGAGACAGAGAAGGAATCAAAGGCAAAATGATCATAACCCAGTGAATCAACATATTCATTGTTGTGTGTGTGTTAGTCACTCAGTCGTGTCTGACTCCTTGGGACCCCAAGGACTGTAGCCCGCCAGGCTCCTCTGTCCATGGAATTCTCCAGGCAAGAATACTGGAGTGGGTAGCCATTCCCTTCTCCAGGAGATCTTCCCAACCCAGGGATGGAACCCAGGTCTCCAGCATTGCAGGCAGAGTCTCTACCATCTGCGTCACCAGGGAAGCCCCAGCAAAGGCAGAAAGCTAAATGGAATC